TCATCATCTTCTCTAAACAAGGATTCGACGACAGCATCAACATCACTCTCATTGCTTTAGCTATCTGTGACCTCGGCGCTTTGTTCGCCAGCCAGGTGTTAGCTGTGGTGGCAAATCCCTGGTTCCTGACGTCAGATCTGCCCATCGTCCACCTGGAGGTCGTGCACATGGTCGTCTTCTACCCGCACAACTATTGTGTGCGGGTGTGTGGGTTCATCACGGCTTTCGCAGCTTTTGAAAGATGCCTGTGCGTGCTCATCCCTCTCAAGGTCAAGCAGCTCATAACCAGGAAATTCACCATTTATTTCCTGTGCGTCATTTTTGTCGTCACCCTTCTGGACATGCTGCCCGTTTACTATGTGGCCTACTTAGATTGGGTTTTCTTCCCTGATTCAAACTCTACAAAACTCGCGATGGTTTTTCGGGAAAACCCATACAATGTTTTTGGTATTTCGTATTTAATCACGGATATGTTCGTACCGTATTTCACGTTCTTCATCATCATCCTCAGTAACGTGGTCATCACATGGAAGCTTAAAGCCAGGTCTGCGTGGCGAAGCTCCGTCACTAACACCAGATCTGTCAAATGCGAGGGCATTTCCAACAGGGAGAAAAAAACTGTTCTATCCTTAATGGTGGTCTCCATTATCTTCATCGTCTGTCTGCTGCCTCAGTCCGCGGTGCTGTCAGTGGTCAGTCTGGAACCGGAGCTGAGCATCAGAGGCAGCAAGTTTGACCTGACCATCCTGTGTCTGAGCTTCGCCTACATGCTCGAGTGCATCAGCTCGAGCGTCAACGTTATCGTTTACTACAGGATGAGCTCCAGATACCGCGAGACCTTCCTGGTCTTTGTGGCCCAGCAGAAGTGGCTCAGGAAGTTCCAACCACGGGAATCGTCAAAACAGATAGACATATGAGACTTTAGGTCTTGGATGTAAAATACTAATTATTTGTTTCACACACACCCACACATAATTAAATATGTGTTAGTGCGTGTGTGCGTTGTGTGTGTATGTGTTTATTGTGAGCGAAATTTCTACCACCTTTACCGGACCGATTTCTATTGAACTTTTCACGTCTATTGTGTTGATTAATGAGAGTAATAAAAAAAATATTGTTTTAAAACGTAATAAAGAAACATTATTAAAGAACTTCCCCCCCCCCCCCCCTCCTTCTGACATGCAATTGAAATTGTCCGTTTACCATGTTCAATTTTGAATTGTAACTACAGTTTCCGACATTGGCTTGTTATGACCGATAAAGATTACAATAAAAATATTTCTTTCAGAGATGTATTTTTACTATTAAAATTTTTTTAATAAAAAACGTTTTAATAACAAGCTTTTATATACTAATACACTAAAAAGTAGAAAATAAATGATAGACTACTATTTAAATAACTAAAAGCGTGGGTCACTTTAGTATCAATTGGATACCTTTACTAATGTTTAGGAAGAGACACACGCTCTTCTTCATAGTTATTTAAATAGTAGTCTGTAATTTATTTTCTACTATTTTGTGCATTACTACATAAAAGTTTGTTATTTAATTGTTTTTTATGAAATTTTTGTTAGTACTTTACATGTTTTATTTACAATAGAGTTACATGACTAAAAACCATTGCGCACATACTGAATTTGATGACGCGTGTGGAGTAGTTGGATAGGACTGCCTATTAATTTGGTCAAATTTTTAATTAATTCATAACAAATTAATCAGGCGACCATATAAGTCAAATTGAATGTTATGATGCATTGTCTTCATGTCTTGACCCACGTACCAATTACGAACCCTATATGTCAGTTAGAAGTGTCTGTAATTTCGCTTGGCCGTTTCGATCTAGACAGAGACAGTGAGTTAAATAAAAGCTTTTAAAATGGCTTACTTATATAGACTTTATTCAAAACGAATAATTTCAATTTTTCTAAACCTGAAAATTTAAATATTTAATTAAATGGTGGTACAATGTTTTGTGGAGAGTTGGGAGAGGTCATGGGGAGTCTAAAAACTAAGTCAAAAGTAAAATAATTTCCTATCAAGTTTAAGCGATATCTAGTCTCCGGAAAGCGCGTTTCGTCCTTTCCTTATTTCTTAAAAACCTTCAGGCTTTGATAATTGTGTTTTCACAAAAAATTGCGTTTTTGTTTATCTAACTATCTATCTATCATCAACTACTAAAACTCAACTTTGTTTACATGTTTGAATATTTGTTTGTTTGTCTGATTTGGTACTGTAAGGAAACTGCTCTATATGGGGGGGGGGGGGGGGCTGTAAAATAGTGTGTAGGTAGAGAATAATGTTTGATTGCAGACAAACTGTTAATCACACATTTATTTAAAGACGTTAATTAATTTATTGATTTATTCATAGGTAGATTAACCACTTTAATTTTAAAGTTTTAGAACAATGGCTAAACTTTGACTGAATAGTGACGTTTGATAACTCATTTTTTTTTTTGTTTTTTTTTTTTTTTTTTTTTTTATTTGTTATTGGGGAGAATCTGCATTATGTGTAGAATTGTAAAATAGGATTTTGGGTGGTAAATATTGTTCTTTCTTAAACACACTGTTAATTACAAACTAATTTAAAGCCGTTAATTAATTTATTGATATATTCATTGGTAGATTAACCACACTAATTCTAAAAGTTTAGAACAATGAATTTAGTAATAGTAAAAAGATTGATTTTCTTTTTACAACAATGTTTTCAATTATTTTTTTAAGGCCTATATGTGAATGATAAGGTTGACTATCAGGACCTCGCGGGGCACAGGGCAGGTAAAGTAGAGTTCACCTGTTTCTATGTTCTCAGCATATGAAGGGATATTGTGGTCAGAGCCATGCCCGGCCGGAATCGTTTGTTTTTTTAAATACAAACATGTCTGAGACTTAGCGGGGCACTGGGCAGGTGAAGTAGAGTTTAGTAGAGTTTTTTTTTATATAAAAAACGTCTTTTTGAATGTGGGGTCTGGTTATTTTGGGATGATAAGTGCTGACAGACGTGATGTCATTTATGGATGACCCCCCGAAACCAACAGTTATCTAACTAGATAATGGGTAGTCTAGTATACTACTAAAACTCAAGTTTGTTTACGTGTTTGTATATTTATTTGTTTTTTTTTTTTGTTTGTTATTTATTTTTTATTTTATTTTTTTGGTATTGGAGAAAATCTGCACTATGTGTAGAGCTGTAAAATACGCAATTAGGTAGAGAACAATGTTCTTTTTGACCAAACCGTTAATCACAAAATAATTTAAACACTTTAATTAAGTTATTGATATATTCATTGGTAGATTAACCACATTAATTATTAAAGTTCCGAACAATGACTTTACTTATAGTGACGTCACATTATTTATTTACTTTTTATAACAATAATGGCGGCTTTCATCGAAGATTTTGTTGCCCATTCAAAAGCTTTTACGATACGTCCGTTTGCTATTTTTATCAACACTATTAACAATTTTCAACAGAGTTTCTAATTTGAGTATACATTTTCCCTAGATCTTGAGAACAGCTGTCGGACTAAGACAAAGTCAATCCTAGATCTAAAATGTAGAATCTATGTCCAACCGAAATTAATTAGTTTAAAATTAAACCATTATAAAATCACAATAAATTATTGAGTTTCTTTATTAAACTATGTTAGTCCTTAAATATTTTATATGAATCTTTGCTTTTTAGCTTCAAGCATCATCTAATTCGAGAATACTTGGGATTTATCCATATCTAGGTCCTAGATCTTGAATCTAGATATCTAGATCTAGAGTTACGGAAAAACTAGAAATAACGTAATCTAGACTTAAAACGTAAATTCTACACCTAGAATCTAGATCTAGCTTGATCTTGATCTAGAATCTATACACTAATTTATTTAAGGCCTTAATTATTTTATATAAATCTTTGTTTGTTTGGTTTTTTAATTGGCTAATTTGGTAAAAAAATTTAATTTGAAATAATACGATAGCCTATTCGCGTAAATAAAGTTTCTTACGCAGACTAAAAATAAAATATAGAAATAAATATATGACTGATCTTACGAGCCCAGATAGCTTGGGGGTGGCACGGGTTCGAGACAAAACAGAGCAAAGTTAAAAAAAAAAGTTTTTAGAAGTAAATGATAAAGTTGCCTATCGGAACTTGGTGGGATACAGGGCAGGTGAAGCAAAAACATGTCTGAGTTGTGGGGACACTGGGCAGGTGAAGTAGAATTGACCTGTTTTTGAGACCTCAGCATATGAAGGGATAGTGTGGTCAGACCCATGCTCAGCCGAAATCGGTGTTTTTAAAAGAGAAAAACGTTTGAAGTGTGACATCTTTTTGAATGGGGGGGTCTGGGTTTTTTATGACGATAAGTGACTGACGTGATGTCATTTATGGATGACCGCCGAAACCAACACTTATCCAAAGGATGACAGGTAGTGTAGTAAATTTCTAAATGTGTATAACACGATGCACGGGAAGTGACATTTCGACATGTATGTGAAATAAGAAAAGATGAGAAAATGGAGGTAACTCTTGCTTTATTGACACTTAAAACTAATTTAACAATCGTGAATTAAATATAATAGTACGTTAAACGAAACATAAGAAAAATGAGTGCAGGAAATGATAAATTATACAATATCAATTTACATCAAATGAAGTAAATTAAGTGGCATTTCTAAAAGTCATGTACACTTTTAATCCTGTTCTTTTAGCTTAAAATCACACTTTAATTTAAACTGCTAATAAAATCATCTAAAAAAAGTTTGAAAAAATAATTTGCAGGATCTAACAACACACATTGTTGACGAAGTATTAATAAATACTTCTATAACTACAAAGCACAAAAACTGCACTCAACTAATAAATTAAAACAGTACTATATATATATATATATATATATATATATATATATATATATATATATATATATATATATATATATATATATATATATATATATATATATATATAGATAGATAGATAGATAGATATAGATAGATAGTGCAGGTAAGTGCAGATGTTTTTAACATTTTGAACGTCACCTGTTGTTATATTTAGAAACAATTTTTGCAGTTGTCACCTTTTGAATTGTGTGTGTGTTTTAATATGTGTATTTGTGTGTTTACATAAATGTATAGATGTCTGTGTAGACAAACTGGAAATGTGTGTAAGGTCTAACTAGTGTCCATCTAATTACAATCAACGCCGCAGTAATTACCCCATTCGTTACTCCCAGAGTGTGTGAGGTCATTAGTGTCCATCTAATTACAATCAACGCCGCAGTAATTGCCCCATTTGTTACTCCCACTGTGAGTGTGTAATGTCAACAAACTGCCCAATCTGTAAATGTAAGCGCCGCTGCTGCCTGGACATGTGGGCGTGGTGTAAGCATATTTTGTGTTTCCGTATTCAACATATTTTTTAACGGTCCATTTTCCGATCGAAATTTTCTTGAAATTACCATGTGGATGAGATACGATAAACGTGATATTATTTTCCTTTTTCTCGTATTTGTCATTGACGGTCTGCCATAGATCCAAATGGCGTGCCAGCAAAGATTTGAGTTTCTCCAGGAGATTAACGTCACACACTGGAATATACAGACGCACCCAATCCTCGTTCGTACTGGGCTGATCAATTTTCCACAATTTGAGCTCTACAGTGGAGCTTTGCTTATCATCATGCCAAAAGGTACACGTCGTTTTTGCAGCCTCTACGTCATCGTACACGACGTGTCTTGCCGTGATCACCTCAAATTTCCCCCAATGATTGGTTTTTTTATTAGACCCAACACACCCTGAACACGGGCAGTATATGTCTAATGTACTTTTTGCTTGTTCCCTGTACATCGTCAGGTCGTCCAGCTTCCCTGTTCCTGTACCCATAGTGGTTGACCCTTTATGCTCTGATAACGGATACGGGTCACTGGTTCCAGGTATGAAATCTGGTCGTTCGGCACTGACACATTTGACCTTTATCCTGACTGTCATGTCGGACAACACTTTGATCAATTGAAACACGTCATCGTCTTTACACTCCGCCGGGAGATGAGCCATAGAAAAATCTTTGACGGGAATAAAATTTGTATGTCCAGGATTTTTCCTGCAGTTGCTGTTCGTGGCTGTCGTATTGGCTTCAAAGTCTCCCGGTTCTATAGTTTCTACCTCATGGACACCTGGATAAGGTGATGGCATTTTGATTAAACTCAAATATTTAGGGCGAAATTTATATAGAAATACTCTTTTTTTTAATTCAAACATTTAGGTCGATAAAAATGTTATTTTATTTTATTTAAACATTTAGGACGATTGAAATATTCTTTTATTTAATAAAAAATTCAAAACAATTCATACTATGTAAATTTAATTACTTTTGGTACTCCCCTTAATCTTAATAAGAATACTATAATAAATAATTTATTCTATTACTTTATAGCTAAAATTCAATGTAATCAAATCAAACCGTTTCAAATTTATAGTAATGTTAGAAGTAATACCCGGTGACATCATAAATAGTTAACCTAAAATATTTAATCAATATGAAACAGTTACTTTGATGTAATACCTGCGCCAACTTGACATAGCACTTGCAACGATTCATTTAGCTCTATTCGCACTAGAATAACACATACATAGTGCGAGCCTAATAGAATCAAATAATTTCACTAGCAGATCTGTTAGTTTTGTATTATATTGTTTTGTTATTTTTTTAAATAAAAAAAAATAGAAACGATTTACCCATTTACCTCTAAAATATTTCGAAGTGTCTTCCTCAGCCATTTTGATTTGCTTTCATGAAGAAGCTATTTTTAGATGTTTCAAGAAAACTAAGAGTGAAAAGCTTGGTACACACGAAATAAAAATCGATACAAATTTCAAAACCGAAATTATGCACAGAGAGAGTCGAATCGAATAACTAAATTTGGCGAATGAATATAAAAAACTGAAAATTAAACTGCTTTTAACTAATAGGTTTACAGAATGTTTGGTTTGAAAAATATGTCAGCAGAATAGATAATTTCTTAAGTTGTCGTCTGAACGCTGTTAAATGCCAAGATGTTCCAGATTGCTCCATCATTTTAATTTTATTTTACTATACCTTAAAGTTAAATAATACTGCAATGATATATTGCTAAATAATAAATGTATATTTTACTCGAATACTCAGTGGAAAATTTTCATAGAAATAAATATGGCTTTGACGTCTCAAGTTATACCATAATACTACTGTCCAGTTTTTTAGTAGGACTACGGTAAAAATTTGGTCTTGTGAACTCAGGCGTAAAATGTTCTGACGTGGTATGGGCCCGCACGAAGCACGACACCTATATACAGCACAAGTATGAATGATAGTAAATCGATTAAACGGGTTAAAGTTCGAAGTTCACTAAGGGCGGACTTCAAGCACGGCCGTTGCCGCTTCGTAATAAGTCACGGGTTTGCCGGCTTCATAGTTCAGTCACGGTTTTGCCGGCTCCCTGATTTAAATGCGACTTTTGGCGGCTCCCATTGTTCAATCGCTGCTCCACGTTTAACTACGGCTGTTGCTGGTTCAAGTTTAACTACGGCTGTTGCTGCTCCACGTTTAACTACGGCTGTTGCTGGTTCACGTTTAACTACGGCTGTTGCTGGTTCACGTTTAACTACGGCTGTTGCTGGTCCAAGTTTAACTATGGCTGTTGCTGGTTCACGTTTAACTGCTTCTGGTCCTGTAATGGTAGTTACATGGACGGTACCATAATATCGTGGTTACATGGATGGTACCGTATTATCGTGGTTAGATTGACAGTCCTGTTATTAGTTAGATGGACATTACCGTGTTATCGTGGTTAGATGGAAAGTACCATGTTATTAGTTAGATGGACATTACCATGTTATCGTGGTTAGAAGGACAGTACCATGTTATCTTGGTTAGATGGGCAGTACAATGTTAGATGGACAGTACCATGTTATCGTGGTTAGAAGGACAGTACTATGTTATCTTGGTTAGATGGACAGTACCATGTTATCGTGGTTAGATGGACAGTACTATGTTATCGTGGTTAGAAGGACAGTACCATGTTATCGTAGTTAGATGGACAGTACCTTGTTATCGTGGTTAGAAGGACAGTACCATGTTATCTTGGTTAGATGGGCAGTACAATGTTAGATGGACAGTACCATGTTATCGTGGTTAGAAGGACAGTACTATGTTATCTTGGTTAGATGGACAGTACCATGTTATCGTGGTTAGATGGACAGTACTATGTTATCGTGGTTAGAAGGACAGTACCATGTTATCGTAGTTAGATGGACAGTACCTTGTTATCGTGGTTAGAAGGACAGTACTATGTTATCTTGGTTAGATGGACAGTACTTTGTTATCGTGGTTAGAAGGACAGTACCATGTTATCTTGGTTAGATGGGCAGTACAATGTTAGATGGACAGTACCATGTTATCGTGGTTAGAAGGACAGTACTATGTTATCTTGGTTAGATGGACAGTACCATGTTATCGTGGTTAGATGGACAGTACTATGTTATCGTGGTTAGAAGGACAGTACCATGTTATCGTAGTTAGATGGACAGTACCTTGTTATCGTGGTTAGAAGGACAGTACTATGTTATCTTGGTTAGATGGACAGTACTTTGTTATCGTGGTTAGAAGGACAGTACCATGTTATCGTGGTTAGAAGGACAGTACCATGTTATCTTGGTTAGATTGACAGTACCATGTTATCGTGGTTAGAAGGACAGTACTATGTTATCTTGGTTAGATGGACAGTACCATGTTATCGTGGTTAGATGGACAGTACCGTGTTATCGTGGTTAGATGGACAGTACCATGTTATAAGTTAGATGGACAGTACCATGTTATCGTGGTTAGATGGACAGTACCATGTTATCGTGGTTAGATGGACAGTACCATGTTATTAGTTAGATGGCGATATCATATTATCTTCGTTAGATGGACAGTACCATGTTATCGTGGTTAGATTGACAGTCCCATTTTATTAGTTAGATGGACAGTACCATGTTATCTTGGTTAGATGGACAGTACCATGTTATCGTGGTTACATGGACAGTGCCATGTTATCGTGGTTAGATGGACAGTACCATGTTATCGTGGTTAGATGGACAGTACCATGTTATCTTGGTTAGATGGACAGTACCATAATATCGTGGTTAGAACGACAGTACCTTGTTATCGTGGTTAGAAGGACAGTACTATGGTAAGTGGTTAGAAGGACAGTACTATGTTATCGTGGTTAGAAGGACAGTACTGTGTTATCTGTGTTAGAAGGTCAGTACCATGTTATCGTGGTTAGAAGGACAGTACTATGTTATTAGTTAGAGGACAGTACCATGTTATCGTGATTAGATGGACAGTACCATGTTATCGTGGTTATATGGACAGTACCATGATATCGTGGTTACATGGACAGTACCATGTTATCGTGGTTAGATGGACAGTACCGTGTTATCGTGGTTAGAACGACAGTAACTTATTATCGTGTTTAGGTGGACAGTACCATAATATCGTGGTTAGAAGGACAGTACCATGTTACGTGGTTAGAAGGACAGTACCATGTTATCTTGGTTAGATGGACAGTACTTTGTTATCGTGGTTAGAAGGACAGTACCATGTTATCGTGGTTAGATGGACAGTACCTTGTTATCGTGGTTAGAAGGACAGTACTATGTTATCGTGGTTAGATGGACAGTACCTTGTTATCGTGGTTACATGGACAGTACCGTGTTATCGTGGTTAGATGGACAGTACCATGTTATCGTGGTTAGATGGACAGTACCATCTTATCTTGGTTAGATGGACAGTACCATGTTATCGTGGTTACATGGACAGTACCATGTTATCGCCAGAACAACAACCTGCACCTTGGTTTTCGTCAACAGGCAATTTTTTTTTTCACGGCAATTTGCCGGCATTTATTTGTCACAAAAAAGCCGGCAGCTGTTTGTACTTCTTACATATAAAATCACACAGCTCACAAGAGCTACAACTAATTAAAAACGAACACAAATATCGTGGCTTATCCAACTTTATATCAAATAGACTATATAAAAAACTATTTAAGCAGTATTCATAAAACTCCAATCGCATCTTTTGTAGCCACCAGATCCTTTTAACTGACCTTAATGAATTTCCAATTAACCGACTTGACTACCAAATGACTGAGTGTCTAATGACTAACTGGATGACTGATGAACCATACGATTGACTGACTATAATGCCTTGACCTTTGCCCTTTTATTATTAAAAAATAATTTCCTAAGTCAAACCTGTTTCAAGTTTTACAGGCGTAAAATCTATAAAATTTAATCGTTTCACCTCTGATTATATATTAATTGGTCTTGAATAAATGTAGCTGGTACTTAAAGTTACAGTGTTTGTAGCTGGTACCGTAAGTGTAAACAATGTATTCCAGGTGGCCTTGTGTACGCCTGAGAGACGTCCGTCGTAGTGCCCTTGGCCATCCCGCTTGTGCCCAGTGTGCTCTATACGCTGGTATGTTTGTTGACGTCACAGAAGTCGCAGATCCTGGTGAGTCGTACTTTTTTATGCTTGGGGTAGATTAAAAGATTAGGTGTGGTGCCACATAAGGCTAGTCCTGCTGTCTGCGTGGGGTAGATTAAAGGATTAGGTGTGGTACCACATAAGGTGCCACATAAGGCTAGTCCTGCTGTCTGCGTGGGGTAGATTAAAGGATTAGGTGTGGTACCACATAAGGTGCCACATAAGGCTAGTCCTGCTGTCTGCGTGGGGTAGATTAAAGGATTAGGTGTGGTACCACATAAGGTGCCACATAAGGCTAGTCCTGCTGTGTGTTACGCCTAGTGTTCTCATGTTTATGTTAATTAGCTGGTTGGTGAACTGTTAAATTATTCTCGTGAGCAACTAAGGTCGACCAACACATTGCAGGTCGGCCAACTGTTGACGTTTTTCTACTGGGCGTTGATGCGTTGATGTGTTGATGTGTTGATGTGTTGATGTGTTGATGTGTTGATGTGTTGATGTGTTGTGTGATTGTGGGCACCGCCAGAGAAATCGTCAGTGACATCCCAGACGGTGACGTTGACGAACTTGTTTTAAATAGCACTTTAGGGTCGACGACGTCATTCTACACGACCACACAACGACTTTCTGGTAGGTCATAGACTTTAGGTCACACTTTCTGGTAGGTCATAGACTTTCTGGTAGGTCATAGACTTTAGGTCACACTTTCTGGTAGGTCATAGACTTTCTGGTCGGTCATAGACTTTCTGGTAGGTCATAGACTTTAGGTCACACTTTCTGGTAGGTCATAGACTTTCTGGTCGGTCATAGACTTTCTGGTAGGTCATAGACTTTCTGGTCGGTCATAGACTTTCTGGTAGGTCATAGGCTTTCTGGTCGGTCATAGACTTTCTGGTAGGTCATAGGCTTTCTGGTCGGTCATAGACTTTCTGGTAGGTCATAGACTTTCTGGTAGGTCACAGACTTTCTGGTAGGTCATAGACTTTCTGGTAGGTCATAGACTTTCTGGATGGTCATAGAGTAAAGGTCACACTTTCTAGTAGGTCACTGACTTTATATCACAGTTATTCTGGTAGGCAAAGATTTTCTAATAGGTCACAGACTTTCGTGTAGGTTTTCATATTAGCGCGAAGTATTTCAATCATGCTGTGTGTTATTGTTCTAATGTTGTTTTGTTTGTTGTTTTTTTGTTTGTTTTTTTTTAAGTGACCACTAATAGTCTGTTTTGTTTTGTTTTTGGTTTTTTTTTTTTTTTTTTTTTTTT